GTGTTCATCCAGCTCTACACCTTGTTATCTCAGATTCTCCAGCATCTACAGTTCCTACTATCTCTCATAGCACTTAGATCTATTCTGTGTAGTTTGTTGTTCCTCACAGTTGGGAGTAAAGGGTGCTGATTGCATTGTTGTACTCTGTAGGGGTGCAGACCTGTCCGCACTGGTGCGTGAAGCTTCCATTAATGCCCTGAGACAGCATCTCTCTGGCCAGCCCTCAGAACAAGCCCCAGGTAAGAAAATATTAACCCACTCTGAGGTAGACTGTCTCCGTAGCCTTCACTTTTGACAATTGAAACCCTCACCTCAAGTCACTGACTTGTGTTGCAGCTCTTATCCCCCCGGCACTTTACAAAGCCCCCCTACCCTTTGCCCAAGTCTCTGAACCCCAGCTACTGTTGCCCTGAGATTCCAGTCCATTTCTTCTTTTTACTTCTACCTTTTACTGTAACCTTTCAGCTCCCTGCTCAGGAATACGGGTGGCACGGCAGCATTTCGAAGCAGCCTTTGAGAAAGTGAAGCCTTCTGTGAGTAAAAAGGTGAGATCATAGAATAATAAGCAGCGGTTTTCTGAGTATACACAATAGTGTTCTGACTGTGACTGCAGGTCTGCGTGATAATTAAGTCTCAATTCTCCACAGTGGAGCCCATTTGGGTAAATTGGTTGATTCAAACACCAAATTCCACCCTTCTCCACTAACCAGAATAAAATAAATATCATCAAGCTTTGGTAAGGACTTAAAGGATTCTATTTATTAGGATCAAGATTTATTCTTAAAGGAAGTGACAAACTCTAGCCAATACCTCAACCACAATCTAGAATTGAAACCACATACTCTTAATCCTACACACAGACTCACAATAAAAACAAGTCTCTGCAGAGATCGTGGGACTTTTTTATTAAGAAGGGAGAAAACTTGCACAGACCAGTTGTCTGGAGCCAAAGGGTAAAATATGATCGTTTCTCACATTGGCTGAAATTTCTTTCCAGCAGGTTGAATTCCAGAAAGCTGGAAATTGATGGTCTCTGTCCAGTTCTGATTCCGATTAACTTATCATAGTTTATTCAGTCAGGCTTCAGTAGGCAGAGAGACATCGCTAAAAGCTGGCAACTAATTTCAGTGGAGAATAAGGCAGCCAAATGGATTGTTGACCTTTATTTTGAAGGGAATGCAGTATAAAAATAGGGAGATTTTGTTAAAACTATACAGGACACAAAAGGGGAAGTTACAATCACCCAGTACAACAACTTGTTTTTAACACTGTTCCATGATTTGCCTGTGTATCTTTTCTTTGATCTCCTGCTGGCTATTGGGAGGCCTATAGTATAATCCCATTATAGTGATTGCACCTTTCTTATTCCTGAGCCCTATCCATACGGCCTCGCTGGAAGAGCCCTCCAAGATGTCCTCTCTTAATGCAGCAGTGACATTCTCCCTAATCAAGAATGTAAGGTTCTTGGGGGATTTTATAGGGCAGATGCGGAAAGATTGTTTCCCCTAAAGGGAAGAGTCTAGCACCACAGGGCATCATCTCAGAATAAAGGGTCATTTAGTTAGGAGGAATTTCTTCTCTTGGAGGGTAGTGAATCTTGGAATTGTTGTATCTCAGAGGGCTGTAGAGCTGTTAACTATATTCAAGGCGAGATAGAAAACCGGTCTATCAGTACGGGGAATCAAGGGTTATGGAGAAAAGGCAGGAAAGTGGAGTTGAAAATGATCACATCAGCCAAAATTTCATTGAATGGTAAAGCAGGCCAGAAGCTAGGAATACTGCAGCGCGTAACTCACCTCCTGACTCCTCAAAACCTATCCTCCATCTACGAAACACAAGTCAGGAGTGTGATAGAATACTCCCCACTTGCCTGGATGGGTGCAGCCCCAACAACACTCAAGAAGCTTGACACCATCCAGGACAAAGCAGCCGCTTGATTGGCACCACATCCACAAACATCCACTCCCTTCACCACCGACGCTCAGTAGCAGCAGTGTGTACTATCTACAAGATGCACTGCAGAAACTCACCAAAGATCCGCAGACAGCGCCTTCCAAACCCACGACCACTTCCATCTCGAAGGACAAGGGCAGCAGATATATGGGAACACCACGACCTCCAAGTTCCCCTGCAAGTCACTCACTATCCTGACTTGGAAATATTTCACCATTCCTTCGCTGTCGCTGGGTCAAAATTCTGGAATTCCCTCCCTAATAGCATTGTGGGTCAACCCACAGCAGGAGGACTGCAGCGGTTCAAGAAGGCAGCTCACCACCACCTCCTCAAGGGGGTAACTAGGGTTGGGCAAGAAATGCTGGCCTGCCACCAACGCCCATATCCCACAAATGAATTAAAAATAAGTGGACTCAATGGGCTCATTGGTCTGCTTCTCCTCCTCTGGTCTAAATACTATAATTTGGACCCTCTACCAGGTTTCCAGGGACAATTTCAGAGCCTCTGCGATGTCTCTTTATCTCTGCCTTCCGGCTCTGCAAAATAGAATTTTAAGACCACAGGGGGTTGCTAGGAAACCATTAACATAGACCCTCTTGTCTTCTCAAAGCCAGGTTTAACTCTGTCTATTAATTTACAGAAATAAACCCCCTTTGTTATTTATGTCCTTTATGTTATTTATATCTGCTTCTCTAAAGTCACTTGATGTCTGATAAAATCAGCAGGCAGCTTCAGTTATTATCAAATGGGTTCCAGCCACATACAGTTCAATGTAATTCTAAGCAGGTTGTAAACTTGCTCGCCGAACCAGTGGGTTTAGTTGCAATCATTTCGTCACTCCGCTAGGTAACATTGTCAGTGCGCCTCCGGTGAAGCATTGGTGTTCTGTCCCGCTTGTTATTTATATGCCTCAGTCTGTTGGGGTGTTTGGTCCCACTTCTGGTTCTGTTCCTCAGTGGTTTGTACACAGGGTCTAATTCAGTGTGTTTGTTGATGGAATTCTGGTTAAAATACCAGGCCTGCAGGAATTCCCTGTCTGGCCTGTGCGATTATGGATGTGTTGTCCTGGTCAAATTCATGACTCTTGTTGTCTGTGTGTAGTGAGACAAGTGAGAATTGGTTGTATCTCTTGGTGTCTAGTTGGTGTTTGTGTGTCCGTATTGTCAGTTTTCTTCCAGTTTGGCCTATGTAATGTTTCTCTCAGTCCTTGCATAGCTTTTTTTATTACATTGGTTTTGCCGGTTTTGGCTTTGGGATCCTTTACATTCGTCAGTAGCTGTCATAGCTTGGTCGTTGGTTTGTGGGCCACCCTGATACCCAGGGGTCTGAGTAGTCTTGTGGTCATCTCTGAAATGTCCCTGATGTATACAGTAGGTTGATAGGTGAGTCTGATCATGTTGTGGTCTGTCTTGGAGGTAATGATGGATTGTGCTTTTCAGGTATTCATTCCTTTTGAAGACTCCAGGTGCTGCGGTTCTGCTTTATGTAGTTCCCGGTTGCTGCAATATGTTATGACTTGTTTAAATAATCACAATGATGCAGCTCCATTTGTGGGCATTGGGATGGTTGCTAGTGTAATTGAGTATCTGGTCCATATGTGTGGTCTTTCTATTTACACAACTCCGGAGATATCAGCAAGACAGACTACCAAAAAATGAAGCCAGAGGGATCCAACACACTCCATTTCTATGGACTCCCTAAGGTACACAAGCCAGGGGTCTCCCTCAGACCCACTGTCTCACTATCAGGCACGCCAACATATAGACTAACCAGAGAACTACAACAGATATTTTTGCGTTCGACCGTTAGGCTCAGGAAGGGTAGTCGGTTGTTGTTCTCTTCTTCTTTTGTGAATTTTCTTCCGGTGAGGATGTCATTTATGTGTCGGTGGGTTTCTTCTAGTCTTGTGAAGGTGTCATCTACATATTGGACCCAGAGTTTGGGTTGTATAGTGGGGAGTGCTGTCCGTTCTAACGTTTGTACTACTGCTTCTGCAATCAGTCCTGATATTGGGGATCCCATTGGTGTTCCATTAATTTGTTTGTATATTCCATTGTTGAAGGTGAAGTGGGTTGAGGCGCAGATCCAGCAGGTTCAGTTCGCTGTCCGTGTTGTTGCTGTTGGTGTCGTGGGGCGCCTGCCTTCCTGATTCACCCAGCAGTGTGGCATTTCTCTCTTTGGCTTGGTCAATATTTATGGATACAAATAGTGCTGTTATGTCAAAGGATGTCATCACCTTGTCTTCTTCCATCCTGGTGTCCTTGATTGATGTTGAGGAATTCTTGGGAGCAGTGGATGGAGTGGGTAGTGTTGTCAACTAAGTATTTCAATATCTGTTGTAGTTCTCTGGTTAGTCTATATGTTGGCGTGCCTGGTAGTGAGACAGTGGGTCTGAGGGAGACCCCTGGCTTGTGTACCTTAGGGAGTCCATAGAAATGGAGTGTGTTGGATCCCTCTGGCTTCATTTTTTGGTAGTCTGTCTTGCTGATATCTCCGGAGTTGTGTAATTTCTTCGGGTTTGTTGTAATCTGGTTCCCTAACTGTGGTGTCAGGTCTATTGCCATCTGTTGGTAGGTGTCGCTATCTGCTAGTAGTGCGTTAGTTTCCCCCATGTATTGGGCTGTATTGAGGATTATTGTCATTCGTCCTTCGGTAAGATTATAATGTTCCTGTCTTTCTTAAGTCTTTCCAGGGCTTTCCTCTCTTCTGTGTTGAATGTCTTCCACTTACCTTTTTTGCTTAATGTTGGGGCTGTCATCTGTCTGATGGTCTGTCATACTTCTTCTGTGAGTCCGTTGCTGTTTAGTGTTGATTCCAGCGCAGCCAGGAAACTAATCTTTTTGGCGCCTCTGTAGTTATAACTCAGTCCGCATACAAGGACAGTCTTATCAGTGTCTGTGGGTGGTCAGTCTGAGATGTTTTTAATCCGTGAATCTGTGTTGTCCGTGTCGTTGATGTGGATGATTTTGGACAGTTTTTCTTGTAGGGCTATTCTTTTCTTTGTTCTGGTCTTTTGTTGTTGTATGGTTGTATGGTGATGGCTTGTTTCAGTGTGGATGTCCATTCCTGGTTGGTTGTGTTGGAGTACAGAGTTTTTTGGTGCACCATTTCCCACTCGTATTTGTGGACGCAGTTGTGGGCATCATTGATCATAACCCTTGTCGTTCTGCGGCCATTTATTCAGCTGTTCTCTGTGCCTGTGGATTTTTGATAGGTGGTTTATATTTTAAACTTGGTGGTAGTACCTGTCTTCTGAGGCATTCGTGCAGGAAGTATAGTAGTTCGCAGGTCGCGCTCAGCCGAATGGCATTTGTCTCCCATCTGCGGGCCAGTTTGAGGGTGTTGTGCCTATAGGTGTTTAAAGTTTTGAAGAAGATTTGTAGCTTGGGTTGTGGATGAGGTTGTTGATATGCTTGCTGAGCCAGTGGGTTTGGTTGCAAACATTTCGTCACCCTGCCAGGTAACATGGTCAGTGTACCTCCGGTGAAGTGTTGGTGTCCTGTCCCACTTATTATTTATAAGCCTCAGTTTGTTGGGGTGTTTGCTACCACTTCTGGTTCTGTTTTTCAGTACTTTGTACAGAGGGTCTAATTCAATGTGTTTGTTGATGGAGTTCCGGTTAGAATTCCAGGCCTCCAGGAATTCCCTGGCGTGTCTATCTTTGGCTTGTGTGATTATGGATGTGTTGTCCTGGTCAAATTTGTGTCCCTCGTTGTCCGTATGTAGTGAGACGAGTGAGAATTGATCGTGTCTCTTGTTGGCTAGTTGGTGTTCGTGTATCCGATTTGTCAGTCCAACCTGGAACTACGCAAAGCAGAACAGGAGCACTTATATGTAGTTTCAAAAACAATGGATACCCAAAAAACACAATTACCTCCGAGACGGATCACAACTACAACATGACCAGACTCGCTAATCACCCTACCGTACACTAGGGACATATCAGAGATGACCACAAGACTACTCAGACCCCTAAGTATCAGGGTAGCCCACAAACCAACAACCACCCTGTGACAGCTACTGATGAACGTAAAGGATCCCATACCCAAAACCAGCAAAACTAATGTAATGTACAAAATACCATGCAAGGACTGTGAGAAACATTACATAGACCAAACCGGAAGAAAACTGACAATACGGATACACGAACACCAACTAGACACCAAGAGATACAACCAATTCTCACTCGTCTCACTACACAAGGACAACGAGGGACACAAATTTGACCAGGTCAACACATCCATAATCACACAAGCCAAAGACAGACATGCCAGGGAATTCCTGGAGGCCTGGAATTCTAACCGGAACTCCATCAACAAACACATTGAATTAGACCGTGTACAAACCACTGAAAAACAGAACCGGAAGTGGGACCAAACACCCCAGCACGGTGGCTCAGTGGTTAGCGCTGCTGCCTACAGCGCCAGGGACCCAGGTTCGATTCCACTCTCAGGTGACTGTCTGTGTGGAGTTTGCACATTCTCCCTGTGTCTGCGTGGGTTTCCTCCCACAGTCCAAAGATGTGCAGGCTAGGTGAATTGGCCATGCTAAATTGTCTGTAGTGTTCAGGGATGTGTAGATTAGGTTGGTCATAGGAGGACGGGTCTGGGTGGGATTCTGTGAAGGTTGGTGTGGGCTTGTTGGGCCAAAGGGCCTGTTTCCACACTGTAGGAACTCTATGATTCAAACCGAGGCATATAAATAACAAGCGAAACAGAGCACCGATGCTTCACCGGAGGCGCACTGACCATGTTACCTAGCAGGGTGATGAAACGTCTGCAACCAAACACCCGGCTCATTGAGCAAGTCTACAACCTCATCCACAACCCGAGCTACAAATCTTCTCAAAAACTGTAATTCCATGTTTTTTTACAACCCAGTAAATGTCAGAGTAATTCAATTTCTTCCAGTTTCTTTCACATTGCCCTTAAATATAGACATGTATTCCGTACAATAGCACACACAGCCATTCAGTTCTCACTCCACAGTTCCCTCAACTGACTCCCGCATTCCCAAAATACCCTGTACCTCTCCCTTTCCCTCTCTCTGTGCCCCCTGTTCCTCTCCCCGCTTCCTGCCCGACTATAAGACTATAACAAATAGGAGCAGGATTAGGCTGCTCAGCCTCTTGAGCCTGCTCTGCCATTCAATAGGATCATTGCTGCTCTGACGTTCCTCATGTCCACTTTCCTGCATTTTCTCTGTAAGCCGTGATTCCCTTTCTAATCAACTACCTACCTACCTACCTCCCCCCTGCTCCCTCAGGGACAAGGACTACACAAGGACTCTGAAAACCCTTGCCCCAGAGAGCTGTGAGGACAAAGACTCACAACCATCTGAGAGAAGAAATTCCTCCTCATCTCAGTCTTAAATTGGTGCCTCTTTATTCTGAGACTGTGCCCTCTGGTCCTAGACTCTCCCATGAGGGGAAACATCCTCTCATCATTTACCTGGTCAAGCCCCTTAAGAATGCTATATTAGATTACCTCTCATTTTTCTAAACTCCAGTGAGTAGAATCCCAACCTGTTTTACCTTTGCTCTTAAATTAATCTCTCCATTCCAGGTTTCATCTAAATGAACCTTCTCTGAGCTGCTTCTAATGAAATGACATCTTTTCTTTAATAAGGGACCAAAACTGCTCACAATGCTCCAGATGTGGTCTCACCAGCACCTTGTATGGTTGCAGTAAGATTTCTCTACTCTTATAATCCAACCCCCTTGAAATAAGGGCCAACACTGCATTAGTCTTCCTGATTACCTGCTGCACCTATGTGCTAGCTTTCTGTGTTTCGTGCATATGTATCCCCAAAGCTTGAATCTCAGCATAAGGGTAGGCCATTTAGGCCTACAATGTGGTGGAATTTCTTCACTCCAAAGCTGCTGAATCTTTGAAATTCTCTGTTCCAGAGGATTTGGAGGCTCAGTCATCAAGTATGTTCAAGATTGAGACTGATAGGTTTCTATAAATTAAAAAGACAAGGGGATATGAGTCACTGCTGCAGAAAAATGGCTCTGAAGTAGAAGATTAACCATAATCCCATTGAATGATGAAGTAGACTTGAAGGCTGATTGGCTTCCTATTCCTATTGCCTTTGTTCTAATGGAAGGAGAGGTCTGTTCAGTTTGTCTTGATGAGTTCAAGATAAAAAAGCTTCAGCACAGAGTCTGTTTTCAGCATTAACACAGTGAGGAGTTGGGATCTGGAATGCACCATCTAACAGTGTGCTGGAGGCATTCTCCGTCGTGGCTTTCAAAGGAAATTGGATCAGTATTGGAAAAGCAAGATCTTACAATAACGTGTGTGTTTATTAATCATTGACTGACTTAACTGAGAATCCGTGCTGGATGTTAACACGCTTTCATGTTCATCTCATCAATTTCTCTCTACCTCTGCCTCTGGTCTGCCTCCGCCTCCATCTGTTGCTGTTTCCTTGTCTCCTTTCATGTCAAAATCTCTTCCTGTTTCTTTGACCCTTTCTAACCTGCTGTCTCATTCTCTTTTCCAGGATCAGTTGATGTATGAATTGCTGCAACAGTCTCTCAGCCAGTCTTAACTGATGGAAGCACAGATTCAGTTACGGAGTTTGTTCCTGTTGCTTTCCCTGGGCTGCAGTCTGGAGTCTTTCTGCACAGGATGTAGTTGCTGTAACATTTACAGGAACTGTTGAATATTTTCTCACTGTGTGAGCTGCATTTCCTGAGTACATAGGTATTGTTAGAAGAACTGAGCTTTCCCGACTTGCTTCCTGCCATCAGGGTCAGACTTGGGGAGTCACTTTGAGGAGAGGAACATGGCTATGATCATGTTTCAGATTATAATGCCTCAAAGAAAATTGTCCACTGGGGTAACAAATCTATTCATGGGGTTTCCCCTGACGTTACTGTCTGCCTTGGTAATATCCCCTCTTGCCTACTGATGGCTACTTTGTATTTTATTCCAAGACCCAGGATATTGAAAAAATAAAGCAGCTTGTGTATTAAAAAGGACTGTCTGTCTGACTTACATTTGGAAAGGGAGTGGATCGATGAGAATGCTGGAGCACTGACATCTTTGAAGTGAAACACGTGTGAGAAGGTGATTGTTGTCTGTGCTCGCTGGTGAGCTGCAGCTACCTGTCATCTCTCATCTTGCTGCAGATTGCCCACTACTTTAGCTGGAAAAGGTCACAGCAACAAGAAAGGACACTATGACTGAGCTCCTCATGTCTGGAAAGCACCAGCTGATGTCATATGTGCACTAACTCCTCCTCTGCTGGACAGAAAGCTCCATCCCATAGGATGTGTGTGACATAAAAATATCACATTGTACAAGAACATTCGAGGTGACTGTAACAATTTCCCAGTGTCACCGGGAAAGCCTTTGCTTCAGGCATTGTACCAGAGCTCCATCAACTAACCTGTAGAATAGACCCAGAGCACAATGAGTTTTTGAGCAGGCAGAGCCACAGTATACATGATCTGCATTTGCTTTAAGAAAACTGCAGAGAGCAGCAGACCCTATCTCGCTTTGCTTTGTGGATCTCTGAAAAGCAGTTGACCCAGTGAGCAGGATGGTCTTGTACTCAGCTAACTTCCCGAGCTTTAGTTTCATTCAGTGATAGGAGAGAGAGTGGCTTAGTGGTATTTTCCTTCACTGGTAACCGAGAGACTCGGGCTAATACTCCTGAGAATATGAGTTTCAATTCCCATCAAGGAAGATGATGAAATTTGAATTCAGTAAAAATCTGGAATCAAAAAGTTGGTGATTGGTAAAATGACCAATCCAGTTCACTAATGTCCTTGAGGAAAGAAAATCTGCTGTTCTTTCCCAGTGTCACCAACAGATTAATCTTTAATACAGTTCTCTCCATGAAATGTCTAGTTGCTGTTTAGAAAACATATTAAACAGCCCCACAGAAATGGCTGCTATAATGACGTAATTGGAATGTAAATATCACATCATCTTACTTTTCTTTATTATTGACTGTGGGCCAAAATGGGAAAAGGACTGCCTTAAACCAAGTATTGTGGAAGGAATTACTGTACTTTTAAAAGCAATTTACTGGAACTCATTGTTTACACTGTTGATTTGACCAAGCAGTGATGGGAAGATACCTAAGCAATCATAGGTGTATGTGCGGAATGAGTTACACCCAGAGACAGATTGCTGATCGGTTTGCACAACCTGGACCAGTTGTGGAGGCCAGGAGTCATCAGCATGACAACAGCTCTCTGGCTGCTGGGCAGGTGGACAGAGTGTGTGTGTGTGTGGCCTCCTGACTGCAACAGAGACAAGGTTGATTAGTCTCTCGCTGTCTGTGTAGTGACCTGGAAGATGACCATCCTCTGGTCCCCTCTAGTGACCTAATTGGTATGCTAATTGCCCTGTGCCTGCTGCAAAGAACTGAAGAAACTTGGAAAGAATAAAAACGTCAGCGCTCAGAAGGACCTGGAAAAGCAAAAGGGACCCCTCATTGAATCCGATTGACTCATGTAACTGAACTGTTTCCCTAGTATTTTTTCTCCAACCATAACACATCCATCATTCATTGTGTCTGTCTGTATATCTATGGGGCTTGATAATTCATAGTTTTGTTTACTTTTGGTTAGAATGTATTTCTTTGTAATTAATAATAATTTCTTGGTAAGTACAGAAACCTGCTCAGTGTTTTCTGTTAACCAGGGTTCATCGGACAGGAAAATTGGGAACTTTTGAGTAATTGAATTCAATCTTAAAGTTTTGTGATGACTCCAGGAATAGCGGGTCTTGATTTCAAGTGCACCACCGCAGTGAGACACCACATTCGGTTCTCTTTGTGATCGAGATAGTGGGCATTTAGATGTGGTATTAGGAAAAGGTGAAGGAAAGCAGTAGGTTCTATGCTGTAACTAACATGTCATTGGAAACAGCAAAGGATATCCTGGACGTGGTAAAGCTGTTGCAGACAGTCTTAAGTAACATCTCAAAACTCAGGTTGATTTAATTGGAAGCTAAAATAGGGATAGTATTGCCTGAAAGAACTAGGAAGATGGAAATAATGGTGGTATAGCATGGCATTTGGGTTTAGTGAAAATATGAGAGACCAGGTATTCTGGGTGGTGTACTTTGGAATCAGTTAGCGTTGGGTTACAGTTAAAGCAACTCAAGCATAAGTAAAAGAGAATGCTGGAGATTGGGCAACAGGAAACGGAGGTGGAATGTCAAAGGAAGAAAATGATAAGGAAAGAGAAGTGGAATTAAGAGGACAGAAAATGGGAATGAGAAGACTAGAAAGAGAGCGAGAGATGAGAGAATACAAAGTATAAGCTTAAAATGCTGAAGCAAAACAGGAGATGTCTGATGCTAATGCAGGCTCTGGTGTGGAGAATTGGCACTATGATTTACACTCCAGTAACGAAAGGTTTACAATTGCACAGGCCCTATCAACATTTGAGGGAAATGATGTGGAGACAGTCTTCATGGCATTGGCAAAAATAAAAGACTGAACACTGCTCGTGCAGAGTAAGTTGGCAGAAAAAACTGGGAACTTATGCTTCACTGTCAGAGGAGGTTTCTCAGGATTAGCAAAACATCTTGAATATATGATAATTGACGTCAACTGTGTATTGTCCACAAACACAGGCAACTTTGGAGAGACCTGGTAAAGAAAGGAGGAAAGCCCTTAGAGTACAGGATGATATATACAGGCTGAACAGTGGAATTGAATCTGAAAGTATGAAGTGGTGCATTTGGGGAAGACTAACAAGGCAAAGGAGTACATGATGAATGGTAGGACGCTGGGGAGTACAGAGAATCAGAATCAGAGGGGCCTTTGCGTGCAGACCCATAGACCCTTGATGGCAGCAGGACCAGTTAAAAGAAAGCATTTGTGACACAGCTTTATTCAAAGATACAACAGCAAGGAGGTTGTGATGGTGTTGTCTCTAATGCTAGGCTACAAATGGAGTGGTGTGCCCTGTTCTGGTTGCCACACAATAGGAAGCATGTGACTGAACAAGAGAAGATGCAGAAGAGATTCACCAGGATCTGAAGTGTTTTCGCTATGAAGAAAGATAGGCTGGGGTGTGTTTCCTTAGAGCAGAGAAGGCTGAGGAGGAACATGGTTGAGGGATTCTGAGGGGCATAGATAAGGAGAGGTCAGTAACAGGGGACACGGTTTTAAGGTAAGAAGCAGGAAGTTTAGACGGGTGCTGTTTACCCAGACAGTGATGGGTATCTGAAACTCACTGCCTAAAAGGGTGGTAGAGGTGGGAACCATCAAGACATTCAAGAACTATTTAGATGAATGCTGGAAACACTTTAAAGTACAAGGCTATGATCTGATTTGATTTGATTTCATTTGGTGTGATTCATTGTTGTTACATGTACATAAGTACAGTGAAAAGTTTTGTTTTACGAACAGTACAGGCAGATCATAGGGTGCTCAGACAGACTGAGACATACAAGGTTATGGCTGCACAGGAGGTGCACAAAGGAAGCTCAGTTAGCTGAAGTTAAATGAAGCTGAAATTAGACAGGTCCATTCAGTAGTTTAATAACACCAAGGAAGAAGCTGTTCTTGAACCTGTTGGTTAATGTGTTCAAGATTCTGTATCTTCTGCCTGACGACAGAGGTTGGAAAGAATGCTTTCTATGGTGCATCTGTAAACATTGGTAAGAGTCCTAATGGACATGCTGAAATTCCTAAGCTGCTTGAGGAAGAAGAGGCGCTATTGTGCCATCTTGGCCATCGCATCTATGTGGAAGGTCCAGATAGATTGTCGGTTATTGTCACTCCTAGGAACTTGACACTCTCAACCCTCTCCACCTCAGCTCCATTGATGTAGACGCGGGTATGTCCTATGGCCTGGACCAATTTGTGGAAAATGGGATACTACATCAGTGGTGTGGAGATGGTGGGTCTGTTTCAGAAGGAAGGGGAGAGATGGGGATGGAGAGCTGAGGAAGAGAAAGGGAGGAGGGAGCTTCAGGATGGCACAGAGGGACCAAACTCTCACTCCTCCTCCTGAGGGACAGAGGGATTGAGCTCATTCTTCCTCCTGAAGGATGGAGGGACCAAGCTCTAACTCCTCCTCCTGAGGACGAATCAAGGTCACACATGTCTGTCATTTCCTGTTGGGGCTGTAAGGTTTTCATCACTTGTTGGCTCCTTCCTCAAAGATTGTCTGGTTCAATGTTACTCCCAGTTGTTTCATGGGTCCTGTTCTGCCCTTGGAGTGCCTTCCTTCTATTGTGGAGGAATGGAATGGCATGCCAGCCACAGTTACACAAAGCCATCACCTATTTCCAGACAATTGGAAAATGTCCCTTAACTCTGCCTGTATTCCTGACCTCTAGTGCCTGATCTGAATTGGAAACTGAAAACTTTGAACAAGTCCTAGGCTGTATATTGCTTACCACGTGATTTCTCTGAAAACGTTGAGTCAAGTTGTACAATGTTGTACTTCTGTTGTGTGCTGGATAAAACAAATAACTGGAGGGGAAAAAAAAAGACAGATTATCTTTATGGCCTTAATTGCTAGATAAACAGGCTTTTTACAAGGTGTCTTACCTTAGGGTTACCTAGCAACAATCTTGATATTTGGTTTCTTTTTGCCACAGACGTGAGGGTTCATCAGTCAGAGAGGCTTGTGAGAAAGCAAGGCTACCTTTCTTTAATATACATATGCATGAGTAGAACCTAACCCTAAAATGAACCACTATCTCTGTGAACAATATCTCAAAATGTACACTATCTCAGTATTATCTAAGAATCAGAGCTAGTTCCAGTAATCAATACCTCTGATTTCCTCAAAGCTATAGTGTTAACTTGAATTAAGGACCTGTTTCTAACTGATCTTCAAGCCAAACTGAAGGCCTTTTGTTGCTCAGCAATTGGATTTCTTTATTCACTCAAGGGATGTAGGCAGCTCTAGTTAGGCCAGCATTTATTGCCCATCACTAATTGCCCAGAGGGCAATTAAGAGTCAACTACTCAAACAGAAAATCAAAAGGAAGTGTTGGAAAGCAAACCTTACTATCTGCTGCACTCAAACCCATGAATGCTCAGGGGATTGCTCATTTTTTCCCCCAGCATATAAAACTCTGCAGAACTGTATTTTGCCTTTAATAAAGTCAAAAATTGCACTTAAGGCAATCTGGTGAGTCTCTCTTGTTCTGGCCAAAAGTAAAGAGAGAAATACAGTGCCCATTTTGATGGCTGAGTAAGATGTTTACACTTTTAGTATGGTTCATGGACTAGTGGGCCTTCACAGCTAGCACAGTTCTATCAGAGTCTTCAACATTATCAAATGTATTAAACTCCATCACCAATGAGGCAAACCAGTGCAAATCATAGAACAGCCATTGAGCTAATATTTGGTATTCTGCTGAATAGATGGTAGATGGCCTTGTCAGCAAATGATAAAAGTGGGAAATTAGATAAATTGGCTTTTCACTAGCCTGCTTAGGATGCTGAAGAGAGAATGGTAGAGATTTCATTGATTCAGAGCTAGTTGTTTTTTCTTCAGTCAGTTAGACCTCACTGCTGGATACATAACAAGTTGTGATCAGTTCACATGTTCTTGCATAATCACCACTAAGGTTTAACTAGGCTTAGCCAACAAGTGTGTTGAGAGAATACATAAGTAGCAGGCCTGCCGATACTGGACAGGAACAAGTCAACTATTGTTCCAGTATTTCCCTCTGTCATTGAGCATCTTTGGATGTATATGGGGATGGGGGGTGATGACAACTGGCAGAATTACAAGCAACAGTTTACAACTTGACTCTAGCTGCACACGTAATTGTAATAGTTCAAACCCGCTGTCAGCCTGATCTAAAATGACAGGTAATAGGTGTTCATTAACTTTGTTAATAGCAGGGCTAGAAATCCAGCGCACTAGCCCAGCAGGCAAAGAGAGATTAGGAGCGGTAATGGAATACCTCACTAGCTCCAAACTCCCTCAACAGAGGCTCTTTAGTCCCAACTGTTCATTACAGCCTTTGGAAGCATCCAAAACATCTATTCTTCCAGAAGAAGTTTGTCCCTAGTGCTCTTCACCATTGGATTGGTGCTCCATTCCTTTTCACTTACCCTGCCCAATGATTCACATCATTTGGGTTTCCAAGCAGGGCCACTTGAGAAATATGGAGTAACTGGAGACAGTCTTAGTACATCTTAGAAGGATTAGCTTTGGAGGCCAAGCTATGCCCTTACATCAATTACTGCTGTATTCTAAGGTTAAAGGTCCCAAAAAGGCATTGAGAAGCTATAAACAAAGAAAGGTATGGGGGGGGGGGGGTATGAGCAGGTCAGTGGGTAAGCAGAAGTTGGGTTGGGAACAGCTTGGTGGTGCACATGTATGAGGGACCTTTCCAGTTATCCTGGCATTTGCTACCACTTGTAATTACTGGTCATCTTGCTATAAAGAAGGCTATTACTGAAACTGGAGAGGATGCAGAAAAGATATACCAGGATGTTATGGTAGTGGTGGGTTTGGGTTGGAGCTAAAGGAGAGATGGGATAAGCTAGGGGAGGAAAGTCCCTTCTCTCAGGCTGGGTGGTGGGGTGGAGTTAAGAGGTTGAGGGGTGACCTTACAGGTTTAAAAAAAAGGGTCTGAGGGGTATGGATAAACACAAGTGGCATAAAGGGATCCCCTAGGGTGGGGACATTAAAAAGTCTTGCTCTTCCACTTTAAAACAAAAACTGACTTGCTAGAGGAAGTGTTAACTGTACCTGCATCAACAACATTTAAGTCATTTGGACAGGTAAACAACACTTGACAACTTCAATCAGGAAATGGCCAGCATGTACAAAGATGTACAGGCTAGGTGGGTTGGTAAAGTTAAATTGCCCAGGGTGTTCAGGAATGTATAGATTGGTTGGGATGTGGAGGGTTGGTGTGCACTTTTTGGGCCAAAGGGCCTGTTTCCATACTAGGGAAGCTATTGATTCTACGTAGTGCCCTGGAGACCCTGAGAAAATAAAGGGTGGATCCTAGAGGGTGGTTTCCTGAGCTGATTCCATGACATTCTGCCAAATGCCTCACCAGATTTTCCATCAAGCACTGACAGCTTGGCTGGTGATGGCGAGAAAAAATTACTACCCAAGACCCTTGATGCATGCTGAGACTCGACAGTATGCAATGTTGTCCTTGAAGTGGCTGCAGGGGAGGGGAGGAGACTGCCATTGAGAGCACCATTTGATGCAGAATGGTCTCCCTGCATCCTAGGGAATAGCTCAGAGCAAGTGAGCATCAACTGTGCTTGGAAGACAAGTCAACTTGCTTAAAAGATGCTGTTTGGTCTGTCAGTGCAAAGGGGTGACCTCAGCCAGGTGTTGCAGACTAGCACATTAAACATTCAGGACTATGTGGTGAGGGTTGCACTAAAGCTTGGAGCAGCTACTAAGAGCGCAGTGGGGAAACTAAGGTCTTTCTGCTAAAGTGGATTGTGGCCCCAGTTAAGGAGGACCTCCTGGTGCCTCAAGAGCATGTAAATAGCATCTTGCTTAATTAAGAAATGCCTTTGTATTTGTTGTAACTATATAGAGGAAAAGTCAAACCCCAATGATTATCTTGTTTTCCATATGCAAGACTGTACAGAAGCAAGCTGCTTTAGTAAGTGTACATAAAGATTGTATATGCAGCACATTCAATTGTATGCAAGTTCATAGCTAATCCTTCTGGAGTTATGTCCCTTGCATACTGATGCACAGTGCACCAGGCTTCTGAAAATAGCAATACCTTCCATCTTTAACTGATGGAAGGAAGGGCCCTGAAATTTTAATCTACATAGTTACATTGAAGATTAGATTGGGATCCATCTTGGAGACAGAGAGATTTGAGGATAGTCTCTCTGGACTTCCTTTCCAAGAAACAGACCCAAAGATGTGAGAAATATGCTTTTAAAATATAAAAAAAGTGAATGCTATAAATCAGGAACAAAACAAATTGCTGGAAAAGCACAGCAGGTCTGGCAGCATCCGAGAAGGGAAAAAAAAAAGGTTACTTCTTGGGGAAGGGTCACCAGACCCAAATACATAACTCATCTTTTCTTCAGATGCTGCCAGATTGGCTGAGCTTTTCCAGCAACTTCTGTTTTTATTGTTGAGAAATATGCTATAGTGTTACAGGAACCAAGAACTGACACAAGCCAAAAAAAAAAAACAAGTAGCTATGGATTGAAACTACACAGATACATTCCACATTGAAAGCTTTATTAACTGTAAAAGGTGAACAATTTGACAGTGGTAAACAGTGGCTGTAAATAGCTTCACAATATTAATGAACAGAAGTAATCTTTTGCTTAAAAAAATGGTTATAGTTGAACTGATCCTCAAATGCAAGAGAAATCAGCAACAGTTAAAACTTCAGTTAGATCTAGCAATGACAAACTGATCCGAGTAGGTAATAGGCCCCATTTCAATCACGTGCTGAACTACTCAGCTCAATATGACAAGATTCTTGTAATCTGTCTCCTGCAAGATCAGGAAGCTGTCACTTTTCCTCCTAAAAAGAAGCTTACCATTAGAGACCCAGCCCATCCCAATCTGTTAGGTGCTTGCAAGTCAAAACCTGACATGGAGGCTTCTGCCTGTCATCATGCTGCAAGTTCTCGTACTGGGAGAGCATCAAGGTGAAAATTAGTTTAGAAGCAAAACAAAATTTAAGCCATAATAAATATTTTATACCCCCAGGTGATATTTAAGTTTACATTGGAGCTTGGGTAGAGCAGGCAGACACCACTTATGGACGAAGAGGAAGAGGATTTTGCCAGTGCACATAGTTTGTAGAAAAACAAAACTTTAATACATTGTTCTTAGAAAATACAAGATCTGTATGAAAACACTGCAATTGACTTAGTAGGCAAACCAGCTTGTCAGTTCCCAGATCCATTTTAGTCTTGTTTGGCATCTTTCACACTCCTTTTAATCCGAGAGTAGGGGCTGATTGTGTCATCCATGATGAAGTCATACAGCACTTTCACCCAGGATGAGTATTGTGGCAAGTTGTCATAATAATCAGCAGCAATTTTCTTTACCTAAAGGAAAAAAAAGGGCCAAGTTATATTTAACAAAAAAAGTGTAGAAAACAGTACAAACTAGAAAAACAGAATAGCCACTGTGGCTAATTACTCCAGCTTCAAATCATTGTTTTCCTTGGCAATAATTGCAAATTTGCCAACATCCATTTCCTTCGAAAAAAGTTGCTAGGATACAGCTAACAATTTTCATGGGGATGGTGGTGGGATGCAAATATTAAACATTAGCAGACTGACATTTCCAAACTAGATGATTGCAAGCAATTCTCTACCTTACTCCTTGTGCAATTTGTTCTTGGTCTGGCAAAGACAGATCAAGACAAGGCTGGGAAGTCCATTTGGAAGAGACTCACTGTTTAGAAGCCAAGATCACAAGGTGTAGAGCTGGATGAACATAGCAGGCCAAGCAGCAGAGGAGCAGGAAAGCTGACATTTTGGGCCTAGACCCTTCACTGTTTAGAAGCAACTGCTGTATAGTCTGGCAATCCCATGATTGAGAATGCAAAGCTAAAGTAGCATTGTTCATGTCCTGTCCTGTTTGGCAGTGCTTGAACATTCCATGGGGACAACAGATTTTAATCATATGCTGCTAGCAATACCCACAGGGAAGGGAGAGGAAGTAGGGTCAATAGGCAGGCACAAGTACAGCCCAATAGTGAAGCAAATTTAATTAAAAGTCAACTCTGGTATTGTGTCTGAATTGACCTGAAACTAAAGTTAAGATCAAACCTGCAAGTCCTGGATCAAAGTGGGTGTAAATTAAGTGCACTATACAGCTTTTTAAGCAGGTTAAAACAAATATCAGGAATGAATACACAGTTTAGGGTTTTACTGGCAGGTGCTTAAATTTAAAAGTGGATAAAAGCTAGCTAAATCACTCCATTATGGGGTCCTCTGGAGTGGTAGCATCCCTGACTTGATCAGGAGGCCCAGGTTCAGTCTCCCTTTCTTCAGACGTGGACTAAAATCTCATGACTGACTTACAGCACAAGTGTTGATTAAAAAGTGAACTCCATTATACAGCACCAGGCTACCTTTTCGGTATGCAACAACCTGAAGTTACAAAGTAGGACTATTTGCATCAAATAGAAGTGAGAGCAAGCAATCCTACAGCCAACAGATCAGGACTCTGTTCTACAGTCCTGACATCCAGTCAAACAGTGGAGGACAATTAAATCTGAGGCAGTACCTCCATAAAAAGCCAATGCCAAGCACCCAGCATATTTGTGCAAGACAGGGCTGAAGCATTTGCAAATTTTCAGCCAGGTGTGCAAAGGGAATGATCAATATTGATCTCCAATTGTCTCTAGCATCACATACAGCTTCAGCCAAAAATCAGTTCACCCTAGAGGCATTGGATATTGCCAAAACTGTGCACCCTGACAACAGTTTTCATAGGATCCCTAGTGTGGAAACAGGTCAGTCAGCCCAACAAGTCCACACTGCCCCTCTGAAGAGCATCCCACCCAGACCCATTCCCCTACTCCTTCACTTCCAATGTCTAACACACCTAACTTAAACATCCTTGAACATTACGGACAGTTTAGAATGGCCAATCCACCTACCCTGCATATCTTTGGACTGTGGGAGGAATCTGGAGCACCCAGAGGAAACCCACACAGGCACAGGGAGAATGTCTGTTGAGTTTAGAGTCACCTGACGTTGGAAACAAACCCAGGTCCCTGGTGCTATGAGGCAGCAGTGCTAACCACTGAGCCACCCCTAAGTTCTAAAGAGGTATGCTCTAGAATTTGCCATTCCACTAGCCAGCTGGGGCATACAGTCTTCTTGTGCAAGTACATTCAACTCAACCAACTACCACCCCAGGTTGGGAAGAGTGTAAACCCAAAGTTAGTTTTCCCGATGCTGCCTGACCTGCTGTGTTCCTCCAGCTCCACACTACTGACCACACCAGCCTACCTGATCAGTTTTACACAAATTTCAGCAGGTGTCAGTCCTACAAGCACTACTCAAGTGATGCCTGGTTTGGGTCCTGCCAGGGCCACCCAGCACCCAACTTAATTAGCCTTGGTTAAAAAGTTTACATAGATTAAAAAGCTGAACTCCAGGTGAGTCAGTTGCAGCCTTTTGACATGAAGGCTGATGTAACCACTCCTTGACATTTAAATGTTATCATCACTGAATCCCAAATTCTGGGAAGTTACCACTGACCAGAAACTCACTACAAAACATGACAAGACCAGGTCAGGGGACTAGGGACACCATGAAGTGCAACTCACCTGACTGTCCAAAGCCTGTTCATCTACAAAAGGCACAAGTCAGGTGGAGAACGGAGGATGCCCCACTTACCTGAATGAGTGCAGCACCAACAAAAAGTCAAGCAACTCAATATCAGGACAAAGTTGCTGCTTGCTCAAATGGTGCCACATCTACAAGCATCACTCCACCACTGCTGCTGAGCAGTGTGTACTAAATGCATTGCGGAGAGATTTTTAAAACAGCATTTTTAAAGCACATGACCACTTCTATCAAAAAGACAACAGCAGATTATGGGACCATGTTCCCTTCCAAGCCACTCAATTCTGACTTGGAACTGCATTGCCATTCTTTCACTTTGCTAGGACAAAATCCTCATGTTCCCTCCCAAGGGAATTGTGGGTCTACCTACAGACCATGGACTGCTGTGCCTAGAGTTGCTCACCACCTTCAATGGAAAGGTGGGACAGGGAATAAAGTGCTGTCTTAGCCAGAGATGTCTCCTGAGTCTGAGGCCAGAGAGGGCACAAAGTTCTAGAGTGAGAAGTGGTTTAGAGAAGATATGAATTTCCCTCCACTCAGGAAATGGTAGAAAATGGTAGAAAATGTGACATGCTGCCTGAAAAGGGTAGTGGAAGCAGATACTTCATTAAAATGTCTGGACAAATACTTAAAATGGTAGGGCATAGTAGGATCTGCACCAAGTGCAGGTAAAATGGGATTAGTGCAATTTTGTATTGATGGACCTGAAGGGCCTGTTTCTATGCCATCTAACCTGTATGAAAGTGAGCTGGTTGATTCACCAAGCTTACTTTTTTTGTGCAAATGGTTTTGTTCCCCTTCTAAAGGGGATCTTCAGTGCTGTCTACCCTCTATTGAGGTGCTGTTGAATGTGATATACAAAATACCATGCAGCAACTGAGGCAATACATAGGACAGACAGGCAGGAAACATGAACACCAACTCACAGCAGAACAGCATGACCAACTCTTCCTTGTTTCTGTTCATTCTAACAAAGGACATTAGTTTAACTGGGACAACATAATACTAGGACAAGCAAAACAAAGACAAGCATGGTTTTCAGCCACTGGTACCATAAACGTGTTGAAATAGACTCCTTCTACATACCACTATGTAACAAAACTGCAAACAGAACTACCCACCATAACAGACCAGACCATAAATTCAGAATCGAACATTACAGCATTTCAGATGTCACCTAGAAGGGGGACAAGACATTTGCAGGAAAACTTGTCAGCTTGGCCAACTGCCCAACAACTGCAGCCATAGCCTGAGCTACAGATCTTCACTAAAATATTGTGCTGCAAGACTCATTAGACAGGATCCCAAAAATCTAACCTCTAGTGTAGTCATAATCTGGACAAGTCAAAAGTCTACATCTGCAGTTCAAAACCATGTGTTGTAATGATCAGATGCAGTGATTAGTTCTGCATCCCACCTGATGCTCTTGAAAAGAAGATGTTTTAGATACACATCACGTCCATTTGTGTTTATAAATGTGGTTCAGTAAATATGTTGACTGAAGAAAATATGCTTGCGCCCCAGTTGAATTGTCATTTTAAGTATTAAGTTTTTTTTTTTAAAAAAAAAAAAACCACACAACTTGAGAAGTGTCTAACATCTCTGGAGCAAGTAGGGACTTTAACCTGGGCATACTGGTCCAGGGGTAGGGATGTCACACTGAGTCACAAAGCCCTCCGAACAGTCATCCCAAACCAGATCCTAAAATGGGTTGCAGGTGCTGCACTGAGACTTCAGTTGATCAGCATTGAAGTACTTGCTTATTTAGCTTGGAGCACCACTTGAGGGTTAAAGTTACTGACAGCATTAGGAATTTGAGGGTCAAAGACTCAAGTTTTAGATTGGGAAACTTGGGACAGTTTTCCTTTCTAATGGAAAGAGAAAGATGATAGAAGCATTCAGAGAAGGATGGGGTATGGACAGAAGTAAATGTGAATATTCCCATCGAACACAAGAGGACAAGCTGACAACAGGAAAAACAAACAAGTGGCTGTCAATGCGAGTGCACTAAATAGCATTGTGGGAGGCAGGGTTAACTAATGCAATGGGACATGAATGTGTAGATATTAAAGGTAGGGAAAAATGACACTAGGTACAGCACTCTAAACAATAGCTGACTTGCCGCTTGAGAATTGTAAGATTGGCTATGACTACAGATAAACAGGAGGGGTGGTAAATCTATCCTGCAGATCATGTGAATTAATCTCTGCCAGGATAATGGATCAACTGCAACCCAATTGGATCAGCTGCTATTTAGTGGCAGGCATGCTAGCACCAGGTCAACTAGTTTAGTTGATTTGTCAATCTTGTGCAACTCTGGGACAGCATCTTCATGCCCTTGTAATAACCCTAGGTCAAGCATGAGAAATTCCTATTTCAACATCCAATTAAAAAACCTAAAAGATTTTTATTTGAAATAACCACCAGATGACTTCTGTCTCTAGCTCCAATATTCTTACAATGGCTAGTACCACTGAAGGGAATAGGATCTTTTAAATAGCCACATCATGCCTCCAGCAATTATTCGTTTGTATTATCAAACCTACACCAAAGATGCAGCATGTTTTAAACTACAGAACTTCAAAACAATACATGCGAAGACCAGGTCATTTCAGCTTATTGCAAGGCAGTAGCTTTAAAACAGCTGTACAAATCTATGAGTACTATGTTGATTGCAGAGTGGACTTGTCAAACAAGGATTTTGTGCAGAGAATATTTGTGACCCAAAAATCTATTCGTAACTAGACTGTTTGCCCAAGTATCAGAACCCAAAGTGTTTCATAGAATGCTAAAAGACATTTCCCAGTTAAGCCTTTCAAATAGCAATTGCTTCCCTCCTGAAGGTATAGGCCAGACCTGGGTTAGAGGGAAAAAAAAAAAAAAAAAATTAAAATCAGAATAAGTGTACTCACTTGAGGAAGCCGACATCCTGGAACACTAGGGAAGTCATGGTGTTCGTTGTGATATCCTACATTGAAGGTGATCATATTGAGGGGCCCATAGTAGGAGTAGGTTTCATGACCTTTCAAAAACATATAATGTTCAGCAATGAAGTGTCCAGAAATGGGATGCAAGCCCATACCAAGGAGAGATCCTGATAACATATACACAATGGATTTCATGCCCCAAAAGTAATAAACCAGCAGGTTAAAGATTAGCTGAACAATCAGATTGGTGATTTCCAGATAAGTGATGGGTTTGGGGTTGATGCATAGTGGGCGAATAGCATAGAAGAGTGGCTGCAAGATGACCCAGAATAGCTTCCTGATTCTTGTGCAGAAAAACCATCCCTCAAACTCTGTGGGAATGTCCACATCAATACCATCCCCACCCATGTAGCGGTGATGATCCATGTGATACCTCTTGAAGGAGATAGAGTATGGCAGACCAACAGGAAGGTTTGCAAACATGCCAAAGTAACGGTTCAACAGTGCATGCTTGTTCCCAAAAGCAGCATTGTGAGAAATTTCATGGATAGCCAGTGTTATGGAATGGTTGACACATCCACCAAACACATAGGCCCAGAAAAGCACCCATTTCCACTCTAAGTCTTTCACGAGGTAGAAGGCCAAAAGCTGAATTGCTACCATCAGTGCGACGATCCATTTCAGGTTGGGATCTGGGCCCATCAGCAACTTGATCTCAGGGTATTTGGCTGCAAGACAGAAAAGGCCAGTTAGCGGAAGCAATGTGAATAATTGCCAGTCCAACCTCCAGTTAGTTGTAATTAAAAACCACAGTCTCCAAAAAGAGGGAGGTTGCCTGTAATTGCCAAGGAGTTCAGAGTTGCACATGGGTATTTAATGAGAGATCAAATCAATGGTAACCTCCATCTTTTCCTCAAAGGTTTTTCACTAGCTTTGATGAGAACATGCAAGGATCAACACCCATATTACAAGACAGGAAACAGCAAAATAGGATTTAAACACAAGAAAACTTCTTTTCCAAATGATTGAAAAAGTATACATTAAGTGGGTTGACAAAGCAGAAAGTTGTGGCACACTGATCCAAGACAGTCATGAAAATCAGTTAATCCAAATCTTGAATGCAAACTCTGGCTCTTCAAGCTTGCTGTCAGCTGGACTAAAAAAGATATTGGATTCTTGAAATGAGCAATTTATTATAGGAGAAATTTAGCATGTCTAGCACTACTGTGGAAGGAAAAGTTGTCTAGTATGGCTTCCTCAAGTCTTCTGAAGGGTCTAGACTAACTTTCTCCTCCTCCTCCCTGCCCCCGGAAGCTGCCAGATCAAGGTTTCTTTAGCATAGTTTACTGCAGTCAGTTAGCAGGGCTAAGTTTCAGGATTTGGACTAGGGTAGCAGCTTTGCTGTTCTACTCTAGAGAAGCCATCCAAGAATCTTAGAATAAGTATTCTACTCTAGGATTGTTATGTAACTAGAAGTAGCCAATTCAGCCCTGAGCCTGCTCCACTATTTAAAAATTGTGCCTGATCACATTTTGGCCTCAACTCCATTTTCCTGCCTGCTTTTTGTAAGCCGTTGGCCCATTAAAGACTGCCTTCAATTTATTCAGCATCCACTACATCCTGGAGTAGTGAATCTCACATTCACGATTCTTCAAGGAGGAATTTCTCTTCCTGTTTTAGTTTAAAAAAATTTTACCCTGAAAAGGATGACTTTTTCTTCATGGGACAACCTAGAACATCCTTTCTATATCTACTTTGTCAATCCATTTTAGCAACTAGTACTCCTAAACCTTATTCTTCTGAACTCCACAGGTTACAAGCCCAAGCTCTTCAAGGACAGACCCCTCATCTTGAATCTAAATCTCCTGACTTGCCTTCAATGCAATGACATCCCTCAGAGACAGAAGTTGTACAAAATACTCCAGATGAGGCCTCATTAATACCTTGTATTGTTGCTACTTTTGGTATTTATTGCTAAATGGATTATAAAATTCCATTGGCCTTCTGAAAAAGTTAGATGCCTAACTTATCCATGTTAATTTTTTTGCCAAGTTTTAGTCCATTTACCTTACCTATCCATAGCCATTGGAAGTTTTTTTTATTTTTGGCAGCTTACTTTCCTATTACATTAGTACCACTGCATGTTTGGTTTCTATCCCCATATGCAAGTTGTTAATGCAAATTTTAAAAAAGGTGTCAGAGCTGGAGGGTGGTGTCTGGAGTAGGCTGCCAGAGGTAGTGGTAGAAGCAAGTACAATTTCATCATTTGAGAAATTGTTAGACAGGTACATGGACGTGATAGGTATGAAGGGATACAGACTGAATGCAGGCAAGTGGGGCTAGTTTCATTATGGAAACTGGCTAGCACAGACAAGTTGGGCCAAAAAGGGCCTGGTTCCATGTTACAGATCTGACTGAACACTGTAGCACCCTAACTATATCTTGCCAACTGGAGACCCATTTATCCCAGCTCTGCACCGATTAGCCAATCCTCTATCCATGATAATTGGCCCCAATCCTTTAGCTCTTCTAGAAATCCAGATAAACAGCAACTACAGGATTCTCATTGAAGATGTAACACATCATGGAGAAAGAACCAAAATTAAGTGATCCACTTTTCACAAGAGTGTGTTATTGATATTGTTGACTTTTTAAAAAGTCCTGTTATTACTTCCCTAATTGATTCCAAAGTTCCCAATGATGCTGTAAACTAACTGGTCTAGACTTTCCTACATTCTGCCTCATTTCAGGGAGAAAATTTTCTTCAAATCCACTGGAAATTTGGAATTATAACTTGTGAATCCACTACCTTTGCTGCCACTGGAAAGTCTGAAATCAGTTCTGATGACTTGTCTGCTTTCGTGACTAGTTTGCTCTAGTTCTCCCCACCTAACTCCCAAGTCTCATCCTACAAGATATGAATGCTCACTTTAGCTACGTTTCCACCCCCTCAGAAGGTTTTGCTATTTCTGAGAGTGTCAGAGTCCTACAGTATGGAGGCAGGCCCTTCAGCCCAAACTAGTCCATCTGACCAAAATGCCCATCTACACTAACCCCGTTTCCCTGCACTTAGATAAGAAGGGGCATATCTTTCTAAACCTATGTATTTGTCTCAATGCCTTTTAAATATTGTTAGTGTACCCACCTCAACCACTTCTACTTGCAGTTCATTCCATATGCATACCACTCTCAAAGTTGCCCTTCAGGTTCCCATGTGCTTTATTTACCCAGGTAGTCCCTGGTGAAGCATTAGAGATCAAAGAATCTGGAACAGTGCCATTACTTGGCAATGACACACCAGCCCAAGAGAAAGTGGCAATTTCTGCTACAGATTGTAGAGGGAAATTAATTCATCTTTAAAAAGCTGGTAGATCAAGGAGATTTAGTGTTGCAGATGGTAGAAAGCAGCTGCTTGTGCTGACTTGCAGCAAGTAATTCAATTTGTTTTATTGAAAGTTTAATAGTTATTTGTTACCAGAAGTCTGATGGTAACCCATAAATAGCCAGGACAGTTAAATGGCTGCAGGAATTGTTGACCAAGTGGCCAACTTTCAATAAAGAGTATCAGTGTGGGGGGTGGGTGGCAGCAGATCTTCACTCTGATAGACTAGATCTTCCATTTTTACTGTGGTGGGCCCAAAATGGGGAAGGACTGTGCTGCCAAGTGATTTGTGCAATCAGTTGCAGACACCAGAAGTCATTAGTATGGCAACCAATTGACTTCTGAGCAAGAGAACAGCTTTGCATGTGATAAGCAAAAAACCAACGTTTCCTCCCTAGAGTCATACAGCATGGAAACAGGCCTTCAGCCTAACTAGTCCATGCTGTGTTCCCAAACTAAGTTAGTCCCACCTGCCTGCAATTGGCCCACACCCCTCAAGCTCATTCGTGTTGATATCCAAAATGCCTTTTAAAATGTATTGATTGTATGATTGTACCTGCATTTACCACTTCCTCTGGTAGTTCATTCCACACAAGCCAAAGTTGTGGCTGTCCTTTAAGGATCTCCTCCCACTTTAAAAAAAGTGGCCCTCTAGTTGATCTCCCCCACCCAAGGGGGAAGAGACCCTTGCTATTCACTTCTACAAAAGGTCACCCCTCAATGTCCTACACTACAGGGGAAGAATCCTAGCCTAACTCAAACCCTCCATTCCTGGCAACATCCTGTTAAATCTCTAAACCCTCTCCAGAGGAATATCCTTCCAGGGTGACCACAACTACACACTACTCTAGAAAAAGCCTCCGGGTCCTGTACAATCTCAACAGGTCCCAAATCCTATACTCAAATGGAGTAAACAAAGACGGCATGTGTGCTAAATGCCTTAACCATCCTGTCTACCAATGATGCAAATTGCAAAGAATTGTACCTGAAGTCACTAGGTATCCATTCTATGGAACTCCAGAGGGCCCTACCATTGACTAGGCACATTCTGTCCTTGTTAATCTTACCAAAGTGCAACACCTCACATTTTATCCAAATTCAATTTCATCTGCCACTCATCTGCCCATTGATCAAGATCTCTTGGTAGTCTTAAAACATTCCTTACTGTACTATAGCAACAATTTGTTGCATTTGCAAACTTACAATCACATCTCCTATATTCTTGGAAGATAGCTAAATATTCTCCCAGTAACTAAAGCTATTGCCCGAGGGCACCATTGCCCCATATCTGAATTAAAGAACCTGGAAAGAGAAAAGATTAGAGGCAATCTCAACAAATCCAATGCAATATTGCTATTAGAGTTGTTTTTTTTCCCCCATACATAACCACCCATAAAATGTTTGTTGGGTCTGTACACTAGTACAGATGCTGAAGGGTATTCCACTATCAGCCAGTGATGCACAACTCATTTGCTGGCTGGAGTGATTGACTTACTAATTTAAGCCAACTAGGCTTTTATCCATCTTCTGTGCAAGAGAAGAGACAGTTAAAATCAGGGACTGAATTTGATAAAACATCTTAAAAAAAAGCTAAGAACTGCAGATGCTGTAAATCAGGAAAAAAAAAGTTGCTGGAAAAGCTCAGCAGGTCTGGCAGCATCTGGGGAGGAGAAAATAGAATTAACGTTTCAGGTCCAGTGGCCCCCCTTCAGAACTTCTGACGTTGAGGAAGGGTCATTGGACCCGAAACGTTAACTGTTTTCTCCTTTGCAGACGCTGCCAGACCTGCTGAGCTTTTCCAGCAACTTTGTTTAATAGTTGGCTTAAATCTCAGTTGATTAAGCAGTTCATTAAAAAAGGAATGAAGCACAGATGAGATCTACCCAATTTGTTTCACTGGCATCTTGATTTGTTTTGACTACAGGAAGTGGAGAACCAACATGGGATTGTTCCTACTATGCCAGAAAGCACAAAATTCTCTTGTGAAAAAACTATTAAGCTCATTTGTTACTGATGTCAAAGAAAGCCAGCAATGGAACAGTAAATTTGATCCCCTCCTTTGGGAAGATAAAAGCTATTATACAAAATGAGCATTATCTTCAAGTGCCTTAAAACCCATTTCAACTGTGGATTACATGATACTTGAGAAAACCAGGTTGTCAACATTATAGGATTAGATGTTAAAACCCATAGCTCAAATTAAAATATAAAATAGTACACATTCCACAAAACCAGAAGACTGCAGGAGCAGGAATAGAAACCAAGAGAACTGAAGGATTTTAGTGCTTAAGCCAACTGAAACGGCAGACAGGCTCTTGCTTGGAGTAGCCGAGTGTAAAATATTGCTAATTAATTCTACAGTCTC